ATTTTATCTCATATAATATCATACAATATCATACAATCTGATTCAATTTATTGTTCTTAAATCCTTGGAGCTTGAATAGGTTTAGAATAGATTGAGTGTTGATGTTGACGTTAGGGGGATTCGAATTAGCATTGCGATTGGGGTTAGTAGTAGTGTTGGTATTTGTCTCTATAGTATCGTTCTTTGATGAGAGGATTAAACTGAGTGTTAAAGATGGGATTGAAGAGGATGTCGAGATTGATATTGAGATTGAGAATAACAGCTACATTTTTCTGTAGGGAGAATTTGGGTCATATTCTCAGTGCTGGAGTTGGAGTGCTGGTTGAGGAGAAAGGAGAACGAAGATAAAGATAAATATGAATATGAATATGAATATAAACATATGGAATATGATATAATGATATCAGGTAGTTGTAAATTTTGTGGCAGGATCTGAAGAAGGAACATGGAGAGCTATGTTTGATATAATAGCAATCCCATCATTCTTAACCCATTCATTGTGTGATTATAAGAATCACTAACTCAACTATTCGAGATGAGTAAGAGCTGTCTAGGTAGCTATAGAAGTGTTGAGGTATTGTTACTCTTATACTTATATTTATCAATATCACATATGTATATACATACATATATATATATATCAAACTGCACAACACCACATCATCACATTACCGCAACCCCAACTCCAATTCCAATTTCAACTTCACATTCTATCCTCATCATATTTCCCCAACCCCAACCTCAACTCTCACACTCATCCATACTTATCCATTTCACCTCTAACTCCACCTTCATTTCCCATCCCCACCCCCCTTCTCAAACCTACTCAATCGCCCATCGCCAAATAACTACCTCTTATGTTCAAATTCAGATCCAGATCCAGATCCGGATTTAGATCTAGATACATAAATAAACAAATAGCTAGCAAATAACTAACTATACAGGCAATAAACTAATCAATCAATCAACCAATCAATCATTTCATTCAATTTATATCACTGTCACTGTCATTACAATAAACAATCCCAATCTCAATCCCAACACCTCCACCTCGACCTCGACCCTAACTTCGTAGAAAGGAAGAAAGGAAGATTTCTTACATCTAAAGATGTATATATCACCATCTCAAACACAATACCATACCATACCATACCATACCATACCATACCATACCATACCATACCATACCATACCATACCATACCATACCACACCGCAGTATAGCCCAGCCCAGCCAAGACTAGCATGACGTGACGTAGGTATTTCAGATGAATTCTCAATCGCTTGATCGACGAACTGTTCATCTTGTTATTAGGTACATTATAAGATTACATAACCATGGATACCTATACATTCTCTCATCAGAACACTTTCCAACCACAACAACAACTACAACCACAACCACAACTATAACGAGAACCACAACAACAACAATAATAATAACAATCCCGAAGAAAAGAAAAGAAAAGATCCAGACCTTCATGGAATCTAGAATCTACATGTATCTATCTACCTATATATATACCTACCTACACATGTACCTACACATGTACCTACACATGTACCTATACATATACCTACACATATACCTACACATGTACCTATCTACACATGCTATATCTACAAGTATACTTACTAGGTATATCAAGTAAGTTCATCCACAACCATCCGTAGCTCGACATGACTATCTATATAGCAAGTGTAAAAACTTTCCTACAAGATATCATTTCTCAACCTTTCAAAACATTTCAAGTATTCAAAACATTTTCAACATTGAAAGGACCCGAGAGATTCAAACATTTTCAACATTGAAAGAACCCGAGAGATCCAAAGAACTTGAAACATTCAAAGTGTCTCAGAGACTCAAAGTATTCCAAACACTCAAAATATTCTAAACACTCAAAGTGTCTGATAGATTCAAAACATTCTATGATCCAATGCATTACAAATCCATGGATATACCAGACAATTCGAAGCGTCCCAAAGTATTCAATTTTCGCATCTGGATTTGCATGCTCCAAGCATCTCGATGTAGAATTCAACTTAGGATATTGAACTTTAGTATCTCACTCTTTCCCCCAGCAGCAAAGTTGTATCGACGACGGCTATATAAAAAGCTTAAAGTTGTTGGTATCATACGTCTGAGGTGATGGCATAAATACCTAGTATACACGCAATACTTCAGAACATTCACAATACATCAAATCACATCCCATAAAACATTCTCCAACAAGTAAGGAATCAGACATCAAATCATTTAACATCAATAAAGAAAATAGTTGGTGAGTTGTTACAAGGCTTAGCTTTTAAAAAGGCGATGCGATAATCAGAGGATATTTTTCTGTCTCGGACCTTCCCAAGTCTGTACACAGCCCAAGCTCCAACGTTGCCTACCCATTCCCCTTTTCATTCATCTTCATCTCTCATCCATCTGGAATTATACACATCATCCCCTTTCTATCATCTCATCTATTGCTTCTCCCTATAAATCATGAACGTTAGCATATTGCAATTACACAAGAGATGTTCAGATGGTGATAACTTACAAATCTGCGAGAATCTTCTCTCCCTTTGCACGTGCTGATGCAAAGTCACCAACCATATAGAAAGCACCTTCTGGCAAATCATCACCCTCTCCGTTCATGATAGACTTGAAACTGGCAATTGTTGTCTTCAAGTCAACGAGAACACCCTCGATACCAGTGAAAACGTGTGCGACAGTGAATGGTTGAGACAAGAATCTTTGCAATTTACGGGCACGCTCGACAGTCAACTTATCAGCTTCTGACAATTCATCCATACCAAGAATGGCAATGATATCTTGGAGGGACTTGTACTCTTGCAACATTTGTTGGACACGGGTGGCGGTATCGTAGTGATCTTGTCCGACAACACGGGGATCCAACATACGGGATTTAGAGTCAAGGGGATCAACAGCTGGGTAAATACCCAATTCAGAGATACCACGGGATAAGACAGTGGTGGCGTCCAAATGGGCGAAGGTAGTAGCAGGGGCAGGATCAGTCAAATCATCAGCTGGTACGTAGACAGCTTGGACGGAGGTAATGGATCCCTTGGTGGTGGTGGTAATACGTTCTTGCATAAGACCCATGTCGACGGCGAGAGTAGGTTGGTAACCGACAGCAGAAGGAATACGACCGAGGAGTGCAGAAACTTCAGAACCAGCTTGGGTGAATCTGAAAATGTTATCAATGAAAAGCAAGACTAGTGAAGAAAGTTAGCACATTTCACTTTTTGATGGAAACAGATCCAGAAAAACTTACCATCTTGTCCTTGCTCTCTGAACTCTTCAGCAATGGTCCTTTATTGAAAGATCCTGGTTAGCTTGCGTTCTGTTTCATAACATGATCAGGTGTCATGTAATGTTTTGAAGACACATAGAACCCAAAGGAGGTGATATGTTTGGAAATAGGTTGAACATTGACATGAGGTCATGTATCAAGAAATGGCGGTACATTGAAGCAATGTCATGAATTGAAAAGAAGTGGAACGTTGAAAGGAGATGATGCATTGAAGAAAGGTGGTACATTAAGGGGTGGTCACATCTTAAAAAGAGGTGATGTAATGAGAGGAGGTGGTGTATCGAAAAGGAGTACTTACAAACCAGTAAGAGCAACACGGGCACGGGCTCCGGGGGGCTCGTTCATTTGACCGAAGACCAAAGCGACCTTGGAGTCTCCATCAAGTTGGATGACGGAGGTCTCTTGCATTTCCTTGTACAAATCGTTACCCTCACGAGTACGCTCACCAACACCAGTGAAAACAGAGTAACCACCGTGTGCCTTGGCAATGTTGTTGATCAACTCTTGAATGAACACAGTCTTTCCGACACCAGCTCCTCCGAAAAGACCAATCTTTCCACCACGAGCGTAAGGAGCGAGTAAATCGACAACCTTGATACCAGTGACCAAAACTTCAGCAGCGGTAGATTGTTCGGTGAAAGCTGGAGCATCGGCGTGAATTGGAAGTCTCTTGTCACACTTAATGGGTCCACGTTCATCGATTGGGTCACCAGTAACGTTCATGATACGACCGAGGGTTCCTACACCAACTGGTACCGAGATTGGGGATCCAGTATCGGTTGCGCGGTGACCACGGACTAAACCTTCGGTACCTATAAACGAGTTGAGTCAATCTTTGTGCTTGTATCCTTCAAGATCGAGTTCTCTTACCATCCATAGCAATAGTTCTGACGACATTCTCTCCCAAATGTTGCTGTTTTCCCTGTCAGTCCGTATTCGACGGTTGTTTATTCCTTGTATTGTTGACGTACTGCGACCTCAAGAATGAGTTTGTTACCACCGTTAGTGGTCTCGAGGGCGTTAAGAATGGGTGGGAGCTTCTCGGTATCGAATTTAACTGTTCAGATGTGGTCAGTATGCAGTTGCAGGGTATTGAAAGCTCGTCCCCCATGTAATCCCTAGATCCCGAGTTTGACGTCGTTGCCGAGAAAGAATTTTCCATGCCACTTACCATCAACGACGGCACCAATGACTTGATGGATCTTGCCATGTACTGCACTATCACTAGCAAATCTAGCAGAAGCAGCTCTCAAGCCAGTTGACAAAGCTGGTCTGAAGGCGCTTCTTGAAGCCCGGAGGGCAGAGTTTTGGATGGCGCTATAGAAAGTTTTAGAGTCAGCTCAATTGGACTATTGCCACCCATTGCGACAGGGCAAAATATTTTCAAATATAAGTACGTACCTCCTGAACATCTTTACGGATGGAGAAGAGCGTTGAAGATGTGAGTGGAGATACAAAGATTGATGGAGGTATGGTATTGCAAAATGAGGAGGTAAATTGAAGCCAGCAGCAAAATGAGCTTCTCGACTAATTGTTAGCGTATACCCCCACGTGATGGCGTAAATTCCGACTTCCCGTTTTGACCCGAGTTGAGATCATCAACAACAACGTCGATATCAGAGAGACGAGATCAAAGCTTGGAAAATCATACATTGTAGATGTATTGGACAACTGTTCAATTCACACTCGATTTTTGTGAAATGATACTTATTATTACCTAGGTACGTTCGTAGTATTACTTGGTCGGATTTACAAAGAATCATCACATAATTTATTTTCCCACCAAAATTTCTTTTTTTAATTGGCGGGGGAGAAAACCGAAAAATCTATTTTTTTTTCCTTCGCTGCAAAGGCTCGCTCACATAGGTAGCTAAAATAAATCTATCGACATAAAGAGGTAGGTATTGAAAGCAGAATCCGCATACTTTTTCCGTCTCCAATCTCTCAGTCATATTCCAGTTTTATTTTACTCATTTCTTCAACCTGTTTGCCCGCCGAATAGCCATTTTATCTACTAATTTTTATAGCGTAGATTCAAGTGCCAAAACCTGTATATAATTAGTCTCTTGCATCAGCTATGTTAAGAGGGAAACTTACTATTGCTGTACGGGTTGGAATGTATACTTGAATAAAGTTCTTTCTGTCGTTCCATGCAAAAGGTGTTGTGAAGAAGCGTGTTGAAGAGTCAATTCTTTCGAATCCTCCAACATCCTTGGTATCAGTGTTGAGAACAGCTTTGTAAGTACCCTCTTGTTCGACACCAACTCTGTAATCTACGAAACTTTGAGTTGGGTGGAAATTGAAGATCCATAACAAACCAGCTCGCTCAAAGACAATAACCTTATCAGACTCATTCTTCAAGCTAATATAAGCTTGATCACTGTGTAACCAACCATACTTTGCTTCAAGATGTTGCATGTGGGAATCAAACTCGTTCAGTGCTTTGTAACGAAGAAGATCATCATCTGGAAGGTTAAATTGACGGCGAGCATACCAAAAGCTGTTGTTGTTGCCTTCACGAGGGAAGTCGAGCCACTCTGGATGACCGAATTCGTTACCCTCGAAATTGAGATAACCTTCACCTCCAAGACCGGATGTCAGGAGGCGAATCATCTTATGTAATGCCATTCCACGCTCGATAATTGGCGTAAACTCTGTAAGTCTTGACATATTTGTGTACATCTCTGCGTCACACAAGTGCATCATAATGGACTTATCCCCGACCAATGCTTGATCGTGACTCTCGCAGTATGCGATAGTCTTCTCACCATGACGTCTGTTCGTCAAAGTAAAGCAGATATTTCCGAGATCCCATTCGTCGTCCTTCTTCTCCTTGAGGATCTTGATCCACATGTCAGGAATGGCCATAGCAAGTCTGTAATCAAACCCTACACCACCGAGTGCTAATGGTAAGCACAAAGCGGGCATTCCCGAAACATCTTCTGCAATAGACAACGATTCTGGATAAATTTGGTGTAACATCTCATTGGCAATCATGAGGTAGACAACACCGTCCTCATCAACAGATGGGCCAAAGTACTCATGGTAACCACCCGAGAACCCCGTTCCAATTCCATGATGGGTATAAAGCATGCTCGTAACACCGTCAAATCGAAACCCGTCAAAGTTGTATTCGTCCATCCAGAATCGTAAATTGCTGAGCAAGAATCTCAAGACTTCATGAGATCCATAGTTGAAAAGTCTACTATCCCACAACTCATGCTTTCCTTTAGGACCCTCGTGGAAATAGCAGCTGTCACTTCCGTCGAACTCGTTGAGCCCATCCAATACATTTTTGGAAGCATGACTGTGAACTACGTCAAGCAGCACAGTGATACCAAGTCCATGTGCGGTATCTATGAGCTCTCTCAGCTCATCAGGTGTACCATATCGACTGCTTGCAGCAAAGAAACTGTTGATTTGATAACCGAAACTTGCATAATATGCATGCTCCATAATAGCCATAAGCTGAATAACGTTATAACCCAAATGATGTATTCTTGGTATCATGTTCTTTGTGAACTCCTTGTATGTGGAAACCCGTAGTTCTGGGGAAGAAATACCAACGTGTGCCTCATATACCCTAACACTTTCTGGCTTCTTTGGTCTGGGATGCTTGAAGACGTATCGTTCGGACTCAGGTGGGTTCCAAAATCGAGCATCGTAAACTGGGGAGACGGAGAGATCTTGTGTGACATATTTGATCCATGCAGGAATTCGTTCAATTCGTTCGCCAGAAGGTGTAATCATAGAGATCTGGTGGGGTTAGCGGGGGTAGATAAAATAGGTAGCCAGAGTCGCTCACCTTGATCTTGGAATTATGTGCGATGGCTGGTTTGCCATCCTTTGCAGGCAGAACAATTTCGAAAACCCCATAAGGATCCTTCTTCATAGGGTGAGACTCGCGGTTCCAATCATCTACACGATGTTAATATTCGACGTCCCGAGAGTTTTGAACGAGGGGGAGAAGTACTAAAATCACCAATCAAGAATGCTTGTGTTGCATTCGGAGCCCATTCCCTGTAGGTAATGTTGTTCTTCTTATCGACATTGAATCCAAACTTCTCGGTACCCTGGTATGGTTAGTTGTGACCAAGAAATCTACAGGAGCTTCACAAACTCTGCTGAATTTCTCAATACCACCTTCGGTATCGTCGATGGTTTTAATCCATTGCTGTGCTTTTGAATATCTGTGTTTTAAAGAATCTCTGAATGGTTCGAGCCATGGATCAAGTTGGATAACACCTGAATTGGTCAGTATTGAGAACCGTCTGGGGACCGTTGAACTTACCCGTTCCATCGTTTGGGATTCCCTTTGGTGCTTCGTTCTTCATGATTGAAGCAGTTGCCAGTTCATTTACATTAGCCATTCTTGCAGATAATGTTTTTGACAGATTGTATGAGGCTGGGGAATTTGATTTAGTATTTTATTGGAGAAAGTCGAGCTAGTACGTACGTACCTAGTTCCTAGTACTCTACTCTCCGGATTTGAGGAGCTATGATGATGGGGGTATGATGGTATGTATGGTTTAGCTCTCTTCTAACCGCGCAAACAAGATAAGGGAGGGGCGCTTAATACACGATTCAACTTGAGATACTAAAGTAGGTAGGTCGAGAGAGATGAAGAGAAAAGTTGACAGTGAAGATAGAAAAGAAAAGAAAATATTCCGTCAACTTATGATGTTTTTCTTTTTGCAGAGAAATCCGGTGCAGATTGCGGGGTTCTTATTACTCTTTTTTTCTCTCTCTCGCCATTGTACGAGTAACAAGTGGCTATTGATAATGCAGGAAGTGATTTGTTTGGTGTATTTGATTTGTTTGAATTGATCCCCTATCCTCCCTCCCTCCCTAAGGATCTGCCAATTCTTCTACTTCTGGATGAACTTGTTGACAGAATTTAACCATCTCGCGCCTTTTCCAGCCTGAACCCAAGCCCAACTAATAAACCTGGACGTCCTTATTACGAGCTTAGGTACCGACCCTCGCGACCTACCTAGGGATAAAATAAATGATAAAGCAGAGTGAAGCGAATTTGGAGTGAAGGGACTGACCTGACTGGACCTTGTTGTAAACGCCTGCAAGCCATCCTGATCGTGCGTGTTTGGCATTAGTGACGTCGATCCCTGTCATATGAGAAAATCAACGAACCATTCTTGAACCATTCTTGAACTATTTATTCATTCAATCCATGAATTTGTATGAAGATTCTCGAAGAAATGGTAGTGATACCCTTCCAAGGGTGGAAGCAATAGAAGTTCTCCGGAATGTGAAGTTATATTAATTATATTTATATATATCTAACTATTAGATACTTACTTACCTAGTACTTATAGGTTTTTTACTAGAGATGAATAGGTATGAAATCAAAATGCAAATGTCAAAAAACTTAAAACTTGATCAAGAACCCTTTTTCTTCTCTCTTCACTCATCCCTCACTCAAATCAGCATTCATTGTTTTCATCCCACTTCCCGTTTTAGTCCGCACACTCCAGATTTTTAACACTAGCTCGGACCAATTAGAAAACTCTCACCCCGCAACAAGATGCTCATAGCGTCGGTTACCGTAGTGCCGCCGATATCGACATATCATTGTCTCACGCTTTCTGATGTTGATCATTCACGTGCATTGCTATTGCTGTACAGCCTCAAAATGTTCAAATGATTTCTAGCATGTTATGATCAGAGTTGATAGATAATCGTGCTCTTTGATACCCAAGCCCTTTACGGCCATTTGTTGCTCAGATGAGAAAATACAGTTCAACAATATGTCCCCGATATCGGGACTCAACCGGATCTCCCATTCCAATCCTCGACTTCTAAGAACTTGCCACCGGTCTCTCCATTTCTCATCCATCAGACATTATCGAGATGCACAATTCAGACGCTCTGATTATGACGGGCAAGGTTGGACTTCATCATATGAGCCAGGTGCTCCAACAAAAGGTCCCCTATCTCAAGCTTCTAAACATGGGGTTCCAAGCCTCACTCCTTTGTCATTGAAGAATCATTTGGATAAATTCGTCGTCGGACAGGATAGGGCAAAAAAAGTCACATGTGTGGCTATCTATAATCATTATCAACGGGTTCGAGAGTTGAGGAGACAGGAAGCAGAGGAACAGGAAAGGAGGGATCAGTATAGTAGGAGGCATCTATATGAACGGGAGCGTAATAGTCATCCCGTTGATAGTAATCATGCTCCCATACTTCACATAGAATTTCCCAATTCTAACATGATACCAGATGAATACGTTGGTCACGCCATTCAAACCGCCGACCTGAATGCTTCGTACCGTGAACGCGAATATGAAGAAGAACCCGAGCTAGGTTCCAGACCACTAGAAGACCCTTCTCAAAACCGTACTATCATTGAGAAATCAAATCTCATGTTATTAGGACCGTCTGGTGTCGGGAAAACCTACATACTCCAGACTCTAGCCCGTGTTCTCGAAGTTCCCTTTGCAACAGTCGATTGTTCTTCCCTAACCCAGGCTGGTTACATTGGAACTGATATTGAATCATCCATTGAACGTTTGCTCTTAGCTTCGTCCAATTCCATCCAAAAATGTGAAACGGGAATAATCTTCTTCGATGAAATCGACAAATTAGCCAAACCGGCTGTTATGACCCATGGCCGTGACGTGTCAGGCGAAGGTGTCCAACAGGGTCTTCTCAAAATGATTGAAGGAACCACTGTCACTGTAAACGCCAAATCTGATAAAAACGCTTCTAACTCAAACCGAAGCATGGACCGTGGAGGCCGAGAATCAAGTTCCCCTGCTAGAAGCGAACAATATACGATTGACACCTCAAATATCCTCTTCGTATTCGCCGGCGCCTTTATCGGGCTCGAGAAAATAATCTCTCAAAGACTTTCAACCGGTTCATCCATCGGATTTAATTCCTCCCTCTCCTCCTCATCTTCGTCCTTCTTTTCCTCCAACCCATCAAAAGAAAACCAAAAGGATATCCTTGTCCATGCCACCCCCACCGACCTCCAAGCCTATGGTCTCATACCCGAACTTCTTGGCCGAATTCCAATCACCACGTCGCTCTCTCCCCTTTCCCTTCCTCAATTAGTATCCATTCTCACCGAGCCCCGCAATTCTTTGGTCAAGCAGTACACAGCACTGTTTGAAACTTACGGTTCTCATGGTATCATCCTCCAATTTACCAAATTAGCACTAGAAGCCATTGCTTCTCGAGCTCTCTACGGTTCCTCTTCTCCTTCCTCTAAAGAAAACAGAGGAAAAGGAGAAACGGGAACAGGCATTGGAGCAAGAGGTCTCCGTTCCATTATGGAAAATGTGTTGCAGGAAATCATGTTTATAGGTCCCTCATCACCTAATATCCGTTATGTCCTCGTGGACGAAGCATTTGTCAAGGGACTCGAACCTACATCCACACCATCCTTAAGTATCGACAATGAAGGAATAGATGGAATGGGCGAAACCCGTCTCCCCCGCTGTTTTCCACGCAATCAGAGAAATATCTTCGAAGAAGCAATCGAGCTCGAAGAAGAGCTATGGAAACAGCGGAATGGAATTTCGGAGAAGCAAAAGGATGGGAAAGGAGAGAATGGTGATGACGACAAATCCATGGACAGTTTCCAGGAGTATAGAGTTGTAGTTGAGAGCGGGATGTGAGATCTGAGATATGGAATGCAAATTGGAAGATGGGAAGCTCACCCTCGAGTCTCCATCACATCCCGCAGAAACCATGTTCGTCCAGCAGCCAAGAACAACTAAATCCACAGCCCAACATATCAAGAAAAAGAACACAAAGCAAAGAAGAGAACCCAGACTCCAAATCAGGGCTGATTCATCGATTGATTCGAAAAAGAAATACCTAGGTCTTCGAATAATCTCGTATCTCAACCCGCGAGGGAGGAGAGCTGGTTACCACAATCTAGGTAATCTAATCTAATCCCGATTCTGATTTTTTTGTATCTATTGTTGATTTTATTTTGTCTTCAATTTCGTCCCTAATTTCATCCTCTATTTCCTGATCTATCCATCTGCACTATTTGCATACCTTTAACATGGATGAAAGATTTCACTGTACAGGTACGGAGGTAGGGAGGGAGTTTGGCGCGTATACTTGCGGGTTTTTGATGTAAACAAGGGAGAAAGGAAGCAGGGGAGCAGGGGAGCAGGAAACAGGTGATAGTGATAGTGATGGTGATGATGAGCGAATAATCGTGTATTTGAATAGCCTGGTAGCTAGATATGGAAATGAGGAAATGATATTTGACTCTTACGGCTGTGTATGTGTATCATTCGTATCCATGTGTATACGATACTGTGATGTAATACTACAGATGGAGGATATGATTTGCAAAACCCAGTCCCGTTTTGAAATCAGTCAACTTTTCAATCTACCTAATCCAAGCATTCACAAAAGCCAGTTCTTTTAAGCACGCGCACGCAAAAACCAGGGAATCATTCACGAACTGTTGTACAAAAAGGTTCATTGTAAGATTCGATCTTTCATCTCCCTCGCTCACTTCTCTCCCACACCCTTCCGATTTATTTTCCCACCCTCCAATTCTATGCACAAAACAATGCTTTCCATCCGCCAAGATTTCCTTTACAAGAAACCTCCCCTCTTCATCATCTCATGCAGATCCCATTCATTTTCTGTCCCATCCATCTCCAGGCTCACATCCATCCAACAAAAGAAATAAGAGTTTGTATGCAGGTAGTTTTTTCGAATAGCACCGTTCCGAGTAGGGTATGTATTCTTTTCTTTTCTGGCATTATGTATAGTTGGTATGAGGGAGAATTTAGTTCTTCTTTGGTGCAGATTGGACTTGACCAGGGCCGGAGTATCCTTCGGAGGAGAGACCACTGATGGGTTCGGAGTTTTGAGACTGTGGTGGAGAGTTGTTAGTTTTATATTCTTGAATCTTTTGGATAAATCCCAAGCTCAAGGACGGAAAACCCGGTTGAGAATGAGATTTTTGGGAATATCAAAAAGATTGTACATACTCTCAAGTATTCGTTTGTAGCCTCTTCCCACTCCTTGTTCATGGTAGATGGAGATCCCTTTGCGAATGATCTAATTGTCAAGAAAAGGGCGAGGGAAACACCAACTCCACCCATTGTATATCCAAAGACCTTCCATCCTTCTCCTGGGGGAGTTTGAGCTCTTGGTCCGTGGGCGCCAAAGGCAATGTAGTAAGCTGTTCGCAATATCTGTTAGCTTTGTTGTTTTCCTCCATCTCAATCTCGATCCCAGTTTTAATCTCCATGCCCATCCCAGTATGTTGTACCTCCGCAACCTCCCACCCAACAGCTCATCAGGTAAGTGGCTTCAATCTGCAGCTCTCTGCAATTTATCCAAGGATATACCTCCCTCCAAAACCTCTGTACATGAACCCCAAATGTCCCAGCTAAAAAAGAATCTCACGTACCAGCCTTCTTCTCTTGTAAAGTCAACTCGGCCCAATTAATCTTCATGCGATCCCTCAAGCTCATCCAAAGCTCGGCCTGTTCCTGCGGTGGCATACCCTCCCACCTCTTCTCGATATCGGCCAAAGTAGGATTACTGATCGCATGAGTGGAAGCACATCGAACCTGGTTTCGAACCACAGAGCCCGTGGCGGCGCGGACAATTGATGTGCGGAGCATGTTTGCGACGGGGGAGATTATGGGTTGGAGATTTCGAGAGGTGTTATGCGTGCGGACGAGTGTTGATACAAATTGTAGAGGATAGAGCTACGTACGAGTTAGAATAAGTGGTGGAGGATGGGGCATCGGATGACTTTGGAGACGCTTTTCGTTAAGCGAACTAGAGGTCCACTTTGTAGAGTCACGTGGTGAGTTTATATCTTCAAGTTTGGGGGATTTGAAGTTCTCGGGATATGAAGTATTTTATTTTTCTGGGCTAGAATAGATGATGAGTTACTAAGCCATGATTGAAGCTCTTTTGATCTCGTTGCAACTTCATTTGGTTGAGATTCAAGACTCTTGGGTTCGACGAATCAACGTCATCCGGTTGGCCATGATTAAATTTTTTGCACGTTTATAAATTATCAAATGTCGATTGGATGGTGAGGTTGCTGTGAAACAATATCGGATATTTTGAGATGGATATAAAAACTCTGCTCTCCAAAGAATGGACTTTGGAAGAATTGGACATCTATTTGTATGTACATGTGTACACCGTGAGGTATCCAGCCATGGTAGCAACGTTCGTTCGTTGTGATATGATTAGATATTCCGACATCGAAAAAGAGGGAAAGACAAAACAAAATAAATTTATTTATTTACCGACGGCATGGATGATAGATCCCGCGATTGGCGATTGCATCATTTGTCAGCGGGTGCATAGACCCAGTCACCTTTTGGATAATCCGGCACCGTCTTCGAGTTCTATACTAATGTATCATTTTCGATATATCTTCATCAAGTACTCTATCGTAGATTGTTTATAGATTGGTATCAATTCCGCACCTTGAAATGGGGGACGAGTTCTTCAATTGTGGGGTACATGGTTGCTAGCCCGAGATATATCCTTCGACAGCTGTTGACCTGGGGTGCAAAAGTTTAGTGGCCATCGATCTAGTTGTCTCTGATCGAATGAAATAGATTATTTGAGACCCGAGTTTTGCCCTGAAAGTGGAAGAGGGGAGTGAGGACTTAGGAGTGAGTTAAGATACTACCTTAGGTAGGTAGGTGAGGTAGATATGTACAGCTTCCTCGCAAGGGTATCAAGAACATTTGGTGATGGTCATGTGAACATAAGAAACGTGACCTTAATGAACAATTTGCTGCTAATACCTAGGTACCTTTTGCAAGAGTGATCCGATATGAAGTGACAGTTGTGATTTATAACATTTGGGTTGCTGGCATCTGCTTATCTTCTCTATCTGGGAACTGGAAGCTTGAACCATATATTGTGTGAGAACTTATTAGAAGTGTCTGTTCCTCTTCACGCGTGGTAGTCTGGTAGGTAGAGGTACATGCAATTCAATCATCTCCAGACGCCAGGGCTACCACTTATTACACTTTGTACAAGCAAGCAAATCTTTTCCCCTTCACGCTCCCAAGAGCCTTCTCTGCAGCTGTTTTCTCAACCCTTAAATATAAGCTTTTCACAATTTGGCCACCGTACGTGGGGCGTTATCAGAGAAAAATAGAAAGTCCGAAAATGAGGCCGTAGGAGAACGGAGTCCAGAGATTTAATCCCTTATTCAGCAAAGCTCAATATCTCATCCTCATCAATTTACGAGATGATGTGAAATTGATTGTGATTAGAACTCTTATTATAAAGCCATTTGACTCACTCAACAGTTATCATGTAAGAAGAAAATCTCGAAGCAGCACGTGTATTAAGTGAGTGGAGTGATTCATTGCGCTCAGTATTGGCTGACACCATACGGTGCGAGAGCATTGCTTTGGACTCAAAGACCAAGAAATCCGAGAAGCGAAAGTTTGAACCATGGTAAGATGGGGTGAGATTTTGGGATTTCGAGATGTCTGCATGTCCGGATGTATAGACTTTATGTATCTTCTCTATAAATACCATGAGAATCAGATAACTATCCCATGGAAGATACATTCTTTCGCCTCGGATCGCGATAATACGGATAAACGTTAATAGACTGTCTCACTCTACATACCCGAGTTACCGTGGTCTAAAAGCCATCCAGCGACTGATTCCGATATGTCATGATATCAACCTATGGTAATTGAGGGGTTGAGGGGTTCGAGGAGTCGAGCGATAACTTGTAGGAGTGGTAACGATATTGTAAACGGCTGATGTGGGAGTGGCCGTTAAGTACCTGTCTGGACACCCGTTTGGATACTTCACAGCTCAATACCTAACAAGCTTGCTTACCCAGTACGTACAAATAGGAGTGCTCAAAGCTTGTCAGTAGGTGCTTGGGTAGTATGTCCCGTATATCCCGTATGTCCATATGTTCCATATCTCGCAAGTCCCATATGTCCCATATGTCACCTCTTGGTGGACATCAACGAGAAGTAAGTTCGAGTAACAGATGCCATGAAAGTTTATCATCCATCATAACGAGTAACCAAACCTTGTCATGATTAGGGATATAAAAAGTAATCTTCAGACTAGATACCTAGCTGGGTATTAACTTCAACCTCTCAAACAAACCCAAGAAGATCAAGAGTAACACGTAGGTACTTCATACTTCAACAAGTGAACACTGACTTTGATAATAAAACTTGGCGTTGCAGAGGACACACCTCACCCAGTACATACCAGCATTTGAATCATTATTTGAGGGACGAGGGGCGAGTGAGGGAGGGATCCAGAAATCCAGATCATCCAATACACGGCACGGTCCACATACACTCATTCCACGCTAAAGGAGGGGCGCTACCGTAAAATTGATTCAACAATGACCCCACCAACTTTATGTCCCCCTCCCCTCCGTTTCTTCCTTTTCCTACATAAACAATCAAGTCTCCCTTTACAAAATCATCTCAAGAATCATCAAAATAATCATACAAGTGAGTATTCTTACATCCATCTCATCATAACCTCAACGCCGCCGTCATTTCTTTATCATCCATAGCTTCAACGGCTACATCCGAAGCTATATTTTAGCCTTCCCAAGCTATCTTGGTCAACAAACGAGTTGAAAGACCTTTCTTCAAATCATCTTCTAACATTACCTTCAGAATGGCTCCTACTAAAGTTGGTATCAACGGTTTCGGACGTATCGGACGTATCGTCTTCAGAAATGCTATTGAGCATGATGACATTGACATCGTCGCTGTCAACGACCCTTTTATCGAGACTGAATATGCTGTAAGTTTCCGCTATCGGACCTCCCGCAGATTTCAAGGACCCGAGCTAATTGATTTTATGTACAGGCATACATGTTGAAGTATGATTCCACCCACGGTCAATTCAAGGGTGATATCAAGGTCCTTTCCGATGGATTGGAGGTCAATGGCAAGAAGGTCAAGTTCTACACCGAAAGAGACCCAGCCAACATCCCATGGGCTGAGTCTGAGGCATACTACGTTGTCGAGTCCACCGGTGTTTTCACCACCACCGAGAAGGCCAAGGCCCATTTGAAGGGTGGTGCCAAGAAGGTTGTTATCTCTGCTCCTTCTGCCGATGCCCCAATGTACGTTATGGGTGTCAACAACGAGACCTACAAGGGTGATGTTGATGTTATCTCCAACGCCTCTTGCACAACCAACTGCTTGGCTCCTCTCGCCAAGGTCATCAACGATGAGTTCACCATCATCGAAGGTTTGATGACCACCATCCACTCCTACACCG